AACTCCTATCTCAATGTCTGGTGTCAAATGCATTTTAAAAAAGCTTTGTTGCTATTGATGTCTGAAAACTCACACTCAATAATTGAAGTATGCAGATGCGGGGTGGTGGGTTTTTAAAATTAGCTACAGGCATTAACAGCAATAGAGCAGCGTACACAGCTATGTGGTGAAGTTAGTGACTGGCGCTTTGCAAATTATGTATAAGCAGAAGTGTGCAGCGTTCTTGATGTCTGTCTGGGACCGCAGCAGGAGAGTTTCTGGATTCATTCTGAGCAGTTGCAATCTCTGAAAGAAGAGGAAGGTGAAAGTACCGTTCTCACCCGGGGAGAACTATTTGACTAAAGATGACACCTGCACGTCTGCACCCGTCATCTTGTACTGTATCCCTTTAGGTGACTGCTGCAACTGTCTGCAAATTCTGTTGTCTTCTCTGGTGGTGGGTGCATGAGTGACACCCCAAGGGCATACTATGGTGTGCAGTGCGAGTATGATATAGGATACTAAAACAGTTGTATTCATGTACAGAGAATAATTGTGGCTAGTTACTTATTGTTTAATTACATTTGCTGTGTAATAGACTGTTGGAATGATGTTATTTACCATTAATCTCTCTTTAAAGTGCTGTAAATCCATAAATGCATTGATGGTACGTATTGCCACCTTTTCCAGATCAATTTTTTCTAAACCATCAAGGCGTGTGTTGCAGGAACTGAAAAATAGAGCATAGTTTAAATGAGGACTTCCTTGGTGTTAACGTTGTCTGTGCGCAGCTGATACAGAATTAAGACTGCTTGCAAATCGTTTTATAAAAGAAGATTAATACCTGCCTCACAGAAGTGCTGAGGTGAATGCACCGCTTGTGAATCACTCAAGACTTTTGGCAGAAGGATTATAGAGTGATAACTTTTGCATTTTCTTCTCCAGTGTTTTATCCCTTCGTGCTGTGATTTCTGAGCTTTTTGGACCAACAACCCCATGTCTAGCCTCACCACCTTACAATTGGACTTTTAACTTAAAATTCTACAAAAGGCATGTAACTGAAAACAAAATTCTCAGTTCTGTGGATCTGCAGACCCCACTAGGCATGGGCCATCGGTTCGGGAGTAATTGTCATACTAGTGTCTTATGGCACTACAGCACTAAGAGATTAATCTTGCTGTATGTGTTCTCAAAGCTACTCTTTCTGACAGTGTAACTTTTCTGTAGCTGTGCTGTCTGTATTTGATACAGTTGGTACAGAACAGATGTTTGCTTTGTCCAGAATATTGTCACCCAAGTCTTCTTTTCTTGCAGCTGGAACGTTAAAGAAATTCACCAGGCTGCCGACTATCTCAAAGTAGAAGAAGTGGTCACTAAATGCAAAATCAAGATGGAAGACTTTGCTTTTATTGCTAATCCCTCTTCTACAGAGACATCTAGTATCACTGGAAACATTGAAATGAATCAGCAGACTTGTCTTCTGACTCTCCGAGATTACAATAATCGGGAGACAGCAGATGCTGCTTCTGTAGAGTTGGTTCAACCACAGGCAAAGAAAGCAGCTTTAGAAAAGAAATCTCAAACCAAAAAGCGAAAGAAGAATTTCGGCTCCCCCAAAAGCATACAGAATAAATCCGTACAATATCAGAACGATGTGACAGAGAACACATCCATTGAAATGTTTTTAGACGCAAATAAGCTGGCCACCCAGATAACGGAACAGGCTGCCCAAGGCAGTGATAACTCTGAGCTACAGCTGGCATCTGTGGTGGAAAGCGAAATGCTGGCAGCGCAGGATATCCTAGTTCAGACTATTGCAGCAAAACAGAAACGGGGAAAGCCTCAGCAAAGCTGTGCACTGAAGGAGCACTGTATGTCTAACATAGCCAGTGAAAAGAACACTTACCAGCTGGAGAGTTCAGGGGAAGAACTTGACCAGAAGTACTCCAAAGCTAAGCCAGTGTGCAACACGTGTGGAAAAGTCTTTTCGGAAGCCAGTAGCCTCCGCCGACACATGAGAATACACAAAGGAGTGAAACCGTACGTGTGTCAGCTTTGTGGGAAGGCATTCACCCAGTGCAATCAGCTGAAAACACATGTAAGAACTCACACAGGTAAGCTGCTGGCCTTGTCTTCATGGACTGTGGAGACCTGTAATCACAGCCTGTGAATACAGGACTAAAAAGATCTTTGCATTCTGACTTCTTCCTCTAGAAATTTTGTCTGCTGCTGGTACGCGTATGGGGATAGTACCTATATCCTGGTAGCATGAAATGTTTCCATGTTTTTCCGTACAAAATCATAGTTTCTACTTTAAATAGCTAGAGAGGACTTTATTAGTCTGAATACCTTGATTTCAGGAAAGACTCAGAAGAGCTGGCTACGGTTTAACTCTGCAGAGTGATTAAATGGGATGGAGTGCCAAAACCTATTGCCAGTGGAGCATGAAAAGCTCACTGTACTTGATACTAGAATTCCTGTTGCTTTTTTAAACATCAAATCCTAATATACGTTTGATAGCAAAACTGGGGGGAAAAAAGCAATCTTGTGACAAGTAGGTAACTTCTTCCATAGGGTCTTCAAAATAGGTTGGGGAGGTGGCTGAATTACTATAGCATTTGGGATTTTATTTAGTAAAACGTGCAGCTGAAATGTGTGATGGCGTTGTGATCTCTGCGTTCAATAACACTACCAGAAGTTTGTGTCGTATCAAGAGCTGCTGAACAAAGCATCAAAGAGAAATCAATTACGAACACTTAAATGTTAAGACAACATGTCTGACTTAAAAGATTGTGAAGAGCAAATTGCTGGAGCCTGGGAAGACGTATGGGAGAAGTACTGTGCTTGCTTATCTTTTTGTATGTTCTTCCCTAGCGATGGAAGATTTGATACTGGGTTAGTTCGTTCTTCAGGCTGATCTGGCATAGCTGTTCTTCTGCTATTGCCTTTGCTGCTGTACTTGGCCCAGTGAGCAGCAGAGGGACCTGGTTTACATAGTTTTCTTCCTTTCGTGGCTGGCATTCAGAATTCTGAAGCAACAGTGAATCAGATAAAAAATTGTTTACTTTTGCTCTTTTTCCCCTTTGGAAAACTCTGAGCAGATGCCAGCAGTGGAGCTCTTTCCAGGAAGCTGTGAAGATGTGAAAGAGGTGAAGTAGGAGGGCTTGAGGTACAGCTGCAGGAGAACGCCTTGCTCTTTCAGTAACCGAGGGAGAGGATTTCAAATATTGTCAGCCAATGACTAACCAAAGGTTCATGTGTGAGATGGAGCTTGTGAGCAGTATTCAGGGACAGTTCGCTGGTAGGACCGTCAGTTGCACTTTCTACTTTTGAGGGTGTTGTACTGGGAATTTTTGCATGAGTAGGCAGGGAATTTCATGGTGTTGGTTGCTAGATGACAGGTTAGATGTCCAATACCTTTATTTTTGAAGTTTGTATGTGTACAATATACTTAAGAATCGTTGAGTTCCTGGTTTGATTGTGCACTGCCATAGAAATGCAGAGATAGGCTCTTTTATACTGACATCTAAGACCGCGGAGTTGCGCGATCCGTTACATGAGACTGTACTGACCACTAAGAATATATGAATAGTCAGAGAAGTACCTGTAGCATTCTACGGCAGATGCTAACAAGAAATTAGTGAGCACTAGACTATACTTTGAAGATTGAAGACTTGTTGCTGTTTGACAGGCAAGAAAAGGCAGATGATTTACTGGTGGTTCATCTTGAATATTCAGAATCATGAACAGACATAACCAGCAAAAAGTCTGAAAATGTAGTAGTAGCGTTCTTAAAATAATGTGGGGGAAATGGCAAAATTAAAAATATTAATTATTACCTTTTTTCCACTAACGGTAATGTGTTCAAAAATAGTCTGTTATCTGCTGTATTCCTGGCACGTTCCACTTCAGTGGACTGATGATGGGATGTTCCAAGATGTTGTTTGTAAGAAGTATTAGAGCAGACACTTGAGCTTTGGTCAGGTAATGGATCGGAAAGCTTTCTTACGTAAATGCAGAGAGCACACGGGTTTTATTTTTCACTAGGGGAGAAGCCATACAAATGTGAACTATGCGACAAAGGCTTTGCTCAGAAGTGCCAGTTAGTGTTCCACAGTCGGATGCATCATGGAGAAGAGAAACCATACAAATGTGATGTCTGCAATCTGCAGTTTGCAACTTCAAGCAATCTGAAGATTCATGCCAGGTGGGCAAAAGTGAGATCCTGCAAATGCTTATCCACATGTTTGTTTAAACAGAATAATTTACTCCAGCGTGAGCAAGAGTTACACGTTCACATAATCTGGTCATTTCTACTCCTTTTCTCTTGGGTCTTCTCTCACGCTGTGTAACAGAATAATTACATCTATGTACTTGCTCATTAGGGAACCAAGTTGCAATTTATGAATGTTACAGCATACGCGCTGGTATCCTTATGGCAATGATGTGGGGTTTGTTTTGTTTTAAACTGCTTGTAGCACCAAAGAGGAGAGAGTTCCCTGATGGGAAGTGAAACAGAACAGTTCTCACTGTTTACTGTCCTTTTGCATTTTTTGGCAGGAGCAGGAATTATGTTCCCCTGTTAGGAATCATCATTTTCTCTTTCAGTACACTATAATGCAAAACGTGCCGAGTTCTCGTGGTGCGTCTTACATGTGCAGGGCCTGTAGTTCAGTTCAGCTGCCATTGAAATCATGGATGTGCTGATTCCCAGAGTCAACAGGCACTGAGTGACTGAATTTCACTGCGAGAGAAACTGCTAACTCAAAACCAAACTCACGGCTGTTACGGTTTTTTTATTTCACAGAACGTCAGCACAAGGAACTTTGGGGATAAAGTACTAATTGAGGGAAGTTACTTAATCGTGGGTGTTGCTTCCCTTTCTGCCAGGAGATCACTGATGCCTGTGTTCATTCGCAGGAAGCATAGTGGCGAGAAGCCCTACGTGTGTGATCGGTGTGGTCAGCGGTTTGCTCAGGCCAGCACACTCACCTACCATGTGCGTCGCCACACGGGGGAGAAACCTTACGTGTGTGACAGTTGCGGAAAAGCCTTTGCCGTCTCAAGTTCTCTCATCACCCATTCCCGAAAACATACAGGTAAGGGGAGACACAGCACTGTGGTACCAGAACAGGCCTGGCAAGGGAGGACTGGCTGCCTGCAGAGGGTCTGGAGATAGGTAACGACCAGGAAATCCGTAGATTGCGAGTTAGCTCTGGAGTTGTCATCCAGCTCCTTTCTCATGTTTTTTCCCTTTTACTTCAGTTTAGGGAGCTCTTTCTCCCATTGGATATTACCTCCGTTTCATTTTGATTTGTTCTTTATGTGTATTCTGGTTTATATATCGAAATAACAAACTCCTTGTGTTCCCTTTAGGAGAGAAGCCATATATCTGTGGCATTTGTGAAAAGAGTTTTATTTCCTCTGGAGAGCTCAATAAACATTTTCGGTCCCATACAGGTCAGTTTCCAGACAGGCTGCTTCCTGCACTATAAATAATATTCTACCTTTACCCTTTTGCCTTTAAAATACACCATATTGTGCTGTACTTGAAAGTAGCAGAGTGTCTTAATTTACGTATCCCTGTGTTAACATAATTTAAAGAAAATATTTGTTGTTTTTTTTTTTAATTGCCTTTTTCAGATTAATATCTGTGTAACAGCATAGGCGTTGATGTATGATCATGGCTTTACTTCTAACGTTCGGGTTTTTTGCTTTGTTTTAATCTATGCTGGAAGAAATTTTATTCTGAATACAGACACACAGACAAAATAACAGAGTTACAAAGTTGTATTTTAAAATACAACCTTGAAATCCATTAGCCTACATCTCTTAACTGTGTTTTCTTTCAATTTCAAGATTGTTCTAACTGCCAAACCAATTTTTTTCAGGTGAAAGACCATTTATCTGTGAAATGTGTGGAAATTCTTACACAGATATAAAAAATCTTAAGAAGCACAAAACGAAAGTTCACACAGGTGAGTTCCTTCTGCAAAAAAAGGTTAAGAAACTACATCAACTGTTTTGTCTTCAGTGCTGAATAACTTTTTTTTCTTTTGCTCATCCAGGCCTAAAATTAGAAAACAAAAGATTTTTGGGTAGTAGCTCTCTTTAGAGCCAAAAGCATCCACTTTAGAGGTACTCAAATTTTTTAAAGCATAAAGTACGTGCTTTAAAGTAGATTCAAGACAAATTTTCAAGCATTTGCATTGCTATAGCAAACACATGTTGAGCAACATCGAAGTGGATTGCTGCTGACAAGAATTTCTGTACGTGACTGTTTACTTTCTTGTACTAGTAACTTGTGAGAGCTTCCCACATGAAGGCATAGTCTGAATTGTAGGAAATTTTCACCTCTTCTGAATATGTCAAAGGAATATGTCTTTATGAGGGTAGTAACTGAAGTGAACATGGCATACTGGTTACAGGAATTACTTAACATCTTGAAGGCACAAATAATTTTAATGTAACAGTGGAAGATTTCTCAAGTGACTGGATAAAAACTGTAATGGGTCTGGCTGGAATGGAGTTAACAAATGTTTTCTCCCAAAGAAGTGTGTGGATAAATGGTATATTTTACATTGCTATCTCAGTTAAAAGAGGATGCTTGGATGTGGCTGTTGTTCTTAGATTTTCTGGGGTGGAAAATCTCAACGAAACCGTCATAATTACATTTTTTCCAAAGCTCCTTTGTTCATTGTGACGTTAAGGATTTGTTTTCTTCTGTAAAGATCGAGTTGGAATGCATCATCCGTCTAGTTGTCATGCTATAAGCACAGAGGATGTGATTCTCGGTGCTTACGTTGTATTTACAGCTCATTCTGGCTTCGCGGCACATTGAAGCCACTGATAGCCCAGCTGCCCAGGCAGTCTTTGACACACCAAGCGTTTGTTTTGACAGTCATTTGAAAGGGAATTTGCAGAATTTGTGGAGGAGCTTCTGAACATTTCTTTCTTTTTTTTCCCCACCCCCCAGGATCTGAAACTCCCCCTGATTCTAATGCACTTGATAATTCTTTCAATGAACAAGAATCCATTCAGAGTCAGAAAAGTCCTTTATCAGAGTCCATAGATGTGAAGCCCTCTGAGATGTCTTTAGCACTTCCTCTTCCCATTGGGACTGAAGACCATCAGATGCTGCTTCCCGTGACGGGTAGCCAGTCTCCTTCATCGGAAACATTACTAAGATCTGCTGTGACTGGATATTCAGAACCTCAGTTTATTTTCTTGCAGCAGTTATACTGACCGTGCAGTACAGAGCCATCAAGGTAATTTGGTAGTGAACTTGCATATGTTTGGTAAGATGAACATAATCAAGCAAGCAGTCACACTTTTTGAATTGGACTTGTTCTTTTTTTCCTCAGTGTAAAGACACTTGTAAGGCATTTCCATTGTGCAGCGCTGTCTTTTGGTTTTTGTTGAATTGTGCTAATCTACAATCAAATTTCTATTTGCAATTAACACTGATTTCCAGGAGGCAATTCCTTTCCAGAAACACCTGCCTTAAGAATTCTCTGTTAAATATGTTAGTGTATTTTGGATCTCCTCCCATATTCCTTCTGATCTGATGTGTCACAATGTCATTTGAGAGCAGACATTTTAAGCCATATTTGATAGTTTAAGAATATTAACCCAGAGGTGTAAGGGGAAAATCATAATCTGAATGTACTAACAAGCTGGTACTCCTGCATTCCAAGGTGAACAATGGTACGTGACGGGTAGGCCAGTGCTCTGGTGAGGTGCTTGCAAAGAATTACTGCTGTCTGCCAGAAGTAGCCATCTTCAGTTGAGGTCTGACCAGAGGGAAGGAAAGTTTTGTGTATATTTTCCTGACAAGGCAAGTAAAGGAGCGTTAATTTTTTTCTGTAGTGTGTGAAGTCAGAGGGTTCTAATGGCATAGATACTACTGGGTATTCTTTCCAACAAGTCACTTTTTCTTTTTTTGTTAAGTGAATCCAGCATTGTTGTATCTTGTCCCAGATTTATTTTTCACACCCCTGCAATGCCCTGGTTTTGGCACAAACAGCAACATTTGCTCAAAAGGAGAGCTGGAACACGCGTGTTGTAGATCAGACGAAAAGATGCATTGACTGAATTGTGAGGCATGAATCAGAGCTTCATAATCCTTTTTTTACAGTAGTGCTGCTTCTTGTGCTAGACAGTAGGTACAAAAGAGGAAATAAATCCTGCCCTTCACTGTGAAAATAATAAGTGAACGCTACATGAGGGGGCATTAAGGAAGAATACAACAGAGCAGAATGATATTCTTCCAGGCAAGGTTTTGTTGGAGTATGACTGATTTCTTTTAGTTGAAGTATTTATGTACTGCTTTACCTCTCGTGTCACTTGTCCGCAGTAACTGCACAAAACTGGTACCTAGCAAGACTCGTGTAAGGGTATGTTTTATTACTAGCAATGTAAATTTTTAAAAAGCAACACTTTTAAAGTCTTGGTCATCAGTTAAAGACTAGTTGACAGTAGGAGTACTTTTATACTCCGTTTTGCCAGTTTGTGCCATTAACATAATGTAAGCATGATTTAAGTAATCATCAAATAGTAAGGAAACAGTCGTAATACTGTACCAACAATGCATTTAAAGATATTATTTGTTGGTTATTTACTCGGTGCTAGCATTTTATTTCCATTGATGCCTTGTGTCCAGACACTGATAAATAGAAGAGCATAGGAGATACCTCTTAACTGATTCTGTTCTACATGGAGTAATAATTAATCTGCACCTTAATTAACAGACTTGTGAAAAATTTCTTGGAGGATTTCATTTAAATATTCTGGAAATAGTCCCTTGACTCCTGAGCATGACTATAGATTCCCCCCCCCGCCACCTCTTCCTACATGTTTGTACTTGTAAAGTAATAGACCTTTCGCTTCTTTGTGTTGATCATCTTAGTACGTGGCAAGTTTAAAACTCTGCTGCTTGATCATGTTTTATGCTTTAATATATGGCCAATTTGCTGATAAAGTCTACCGCAGGCAGCAAGGAGTACAACCATGTTCACTGGGAACATTCTTAATGCAGGCATCTCTAACTCTGTCCACTGAAGCTAATTATTGCCATACCTGCCTGACCTTTATTTGCTTTGCTTATCTGTACTACAACATTTGTGAACAGCCGATGTCCTTCACAATGCTGGCAAAGGACAATGGATGAAGTTCTCTGATTGATGGGGTTTTTTTCTGTTTGTTTGGCATTTCCCCCTTTCCTCCCCCGTTTTCTTTTTTAGCTTCTGTTGTTGATGTAGCCCCTGAAGGATATTCCTTAGCCTTGCCATTTAAGACTGAAGAACCACAAAGATCGGGATCTTGACTCTGTGTAAAAAAAGCGAACTCTGTGTAGCTTGTCCTAAGGTTCCTCTTTACTTTCTCTCTCTGAAAATACAGCAGACGTCTTGGGATAGACATAGGCTTAGTCATGAATACTGAAACAGAACAATACCGTAGAATTCATAAATTTCATATTTAAACAGCTTTGGAAGATAAACTAATGATATGCTGCTGTTATCTGAGGAAAAGTAGCTAAAGATTAACATATCCAGGATAAATGACCACAAGAAAGAACTAGCTCTGGAAAAAAAATTTTTTTAAAAATCACATTCCTACATAGAAAATGCATTCCATAACAATGTTTGTTTGGACTGTTTTTATATTTCTAAAATTATAGCTTATTACTGTATTCTTAGATTTCAGACTTTTTTAAAAAATACAGTGCTTAGATTTATACAGGATTTGTTTAGATACTTATAACAGTAACACTTGCTTTATTAGTCATTTAGTTTTCTTTATAGACAAGAAGATAATCATTATTTTTTACAAGACAACAATTTTAACCTTTCTTAATAGAATACACAGGCTTGTAATTTTGTCTTGGAGCAATAATTTAGTGATCTGCACTCGAGTCCCCATATGAGAGTCTTGATTTTTATCCTCATCTTTTGTGAAGATATCTCAGCTGCTGAGGTATGATCTCTATGAACTGTATTCATTTACTAGAATATAGATTTTAAATATATATATATAAAAAAAAAAATTGTAGGTGTGTTCAGGCTGGGTGCTGTAGGACCTGAAGAAGCAGGTCTGTACTGTACCTTTTGCCAATAGATGCATGGAAATCAGCTGCACATCTAATTCCTAGGCTTAAGGATACTGAGTTCATTTTGGAGGTACAAGGTTTATAACAGTATTGATAATTTCTGTAAGGGATTAATGTGGGAAAGCATGGAATCTTTTTAGGCAGACGTCTCCTTCTTGAGACCTATCTGCAAAATGAAAGAGGGAATTTTAATAATTCCATTGACAGTGATTTAGAGAAAACAACATGATTTGTCACACTGTTGTTTCAGTACCGTTTCAGTCAATTTTGCACCGAAGTCAGTGCAAGTTTTGCCTGAATAGGTTATCTGCATCTAGAAATTTCCGAATTGGCTGTTCGGAAGTACTTATGTGAGAATAGCTCCTTGTATGACACTTACTTCCAAATGTGTGCCTAAAAGTGGGCACAAAGCATGACAACTTTTCTGAAATCGTGTGTTTCAAAAAACTTTCAAGTATGGACAAGTCCCATGTTAAGGATTTCAGGGCTGTGATCTTGGAGAGGCTATCGATAAGCCTTGCAGAATTAATTCCAGATAAGGACTAATAACTGATTTTTTGGTTAAATTATTTTTAAAATATCTTTCATGTATATACAATTTTTCCTCTGTTATTTGTATATAGCTCAACTCTCAATTTTATAATCCCCTGGGAAGGGAGGGGGTTGTACATATTTAGCCTGAAGTGTTTTATGTTAGACTTTAATAAACTTGTTTTGTAATTTTCCCTCACCTTGTGTCTCCTGTTTATAACTGCAAGGGGTAGCAACAAAAGAAGGAGGGAAGCAGTCTAACATAACCACCGTCAAAGCGCCCTGTCAGAAGGACACACGGTAGCCCTTTGCACAGCATACTGACACAGCAGGGATTGCTACATTTTCTTCTCGGCAGTAAACACACCTGATTTTTCTCATAGAAGATATTTTGGGTCTGTTCAAACTAAATTAAACAAAAACTTTATTCTAAATACCATCTAGTATAATGACTATTAGGTTAATTTTTTTCCACTTGTTTTGAGGTGTTTGGGGTGGGGTTTTGGGGGGGGTTGTTTTGGGGTTTTGTTTTTTTACAGAGTGCTTTGAAGATGTACTTTTTATGCTAAAGTAGATATTCAGTGATTTTCTTTATCAGACTTTGTATCTTATTTTTACTAGATTGTTTAATTTTACAGAAGGTGGTATGGTAGCTAGAGCACACAGTAGGACTTAGGGGACCTCCATTGTACCGCTGGCCTGCTGGATCAGTCATTTTCCTTCCCTTTAAAGTAGGGCAAAAATGCTGCCTTTCAGCAAGGTATTGCGAATTCTGGAAGCTGAAACAATGGTTTACAGAGCAGGATTATGCTTGCTTTTGCTACTAGAATAACTTACTCAGAAGACCATGGCAGAAGTTTCTAGCCTATGTAAATTCTCTCATTCCAAAGAACACAAACGTCTTTTAGGAATTTCAAGGTTTGGTTTTCAGAGAAAGGAAAGCGATAAATGACTCTGGCGTAGGCCTCTTTAAGCAATACAGGTTTCTGCATAAATAATTATTTTAGTTTGCAGGAAGCTGTTTCTACCTAATTCAGTAAGAATTACTCTGCAGCCCTTTCCTACAAAGGAATATCAAAGTAAATGATAACACATGAGCTATTTTTATGGATATTGTCAATAATGCAGAGTGCTCTTTTGGGCCAAGCATCTTGCTGTTAAACAAGGGTTCAGGTAGAGGAAAAATATTTCAAAAACATACACTAGCGATTTTGAAAGTAGACGCTATTTATCCTGTTACATTTTGTGTATGATATTGTTGCCATCTTGCCATGTCTACGCTAAAAATAAAGTACTGCTGTTGGTAGAGCTGGGACTGACTTGGTAGATTTGGTTCCCTGTTACCACAGCAGATTAACGAATGTCATTCATACAAGTAAATTAAGACTTAATTTGGGCAATGAAATTAGCTTGAACTTCATATACAGGACAAGATATATGGAAAAAATATACCTCGATCTGAGTCTTGTAGTGGTCTTTCTGGCAAGAAATTCTATCATCAATGTCTCAATACTGAGAGTACTCTCTTTAGACTATCAGAGTATAACCTGCAATGCTCCAGAGCAGCAACACTTAGAAAAATACCAACTTTGATACTACAGGCCTATCTAATTTTTTAAAAACTTAGGAATTTTCATAGCATGCAGATTCTTCTCAATCACATTCCGTGTATCCTCAACTTTTGTTTTCATGGCTCCGTTCTTCTGTGCAACAATAGTTAAAATATAAGCTCCTCTCTAGAATATGATTTTCACAGTGCGACCTATGGATGACTACAGGTTAAGATGTCCATGCGCAAAAAGCCGCAAAGATTTCTGGTCTCCTGCTCTGCCCTCACCTTGTGGGTGTCACATCCGTTAAGCTATTCTATGAAGAGAACACAGGGGAACTCCTGGTCTGGAGGGCGAAGAAAACTTGATCAGGTCTTAAACACTGTCTCTAGCAGGCAAGAAGGTTGAGGGGACAGAGAGAGACCTCTGTGTCAACTTGTGTGTGGTGGAACAAACATACCTGCTCCGTGGGCTTACCTCTAAGTCCTCGTATGATATTAAGTGCTTTTTGGACCAACAGAGCCTGACTAATTTGTGTTCAGGCTGGGGGAGAGAAAAAACACCCCAACACTTAGCTATCAGTACCACTTTGGTCATTTCAGCTTGGTAAGGGGTATCCGTACATCTCCCTGTTTCTACACTACCACTGTGATAATACAGAATCAGAACATCAGCAGGTAAATCACGGCTTCTTAGGTATTATTGTTGAAATTACTTTCTTATCTTTTTCCCCTCATACTTAGATTTCGTAGGTCTTTTGCCTGCATGCACATACATTCAAAGATTACTCTGTTACTTATGCTATACTAATTTTTAACAGGCACATTTAGACATGCACAAAATTGCACTAGTGAAAGCCTTTGGGCAAACCTCTGCTGTCCTATTTGGTGACTTTTTCTATTTAGGAACATAGATCTAGTCACTTCTACAGGTACGAGCAGAGGGGGTGTACAAAGGAAACAAGCTGAGTGATTCCCAAACTTCTGAGAAGTCTGTGCCCAAACCGTTAAACAATTTTTGACTACCATTATATGTGTATGTTGTCTTATTCATGTGTAGGAGTTGCCACATGGCTACAATATAAATCTTTCTAAACAGTTTTCAAGAGACAGGAAGAAATAATGAAACCAAGTTTGGTGGTTTTCATTTGTAGTACAAGAAACAAGTCCATGCTGCAAGTTCATCAAAATACTATTTATATACCAGTAAACTAGGTTCACTAGCTTTAAAGTTCCAGCATTATAGTGGCTTAACGCTTAAGTTTGCTTAAGTTTGTTTAACTTGGTTAAAAAAAAAAAAGTCACTCTTGGATAAATATCAAAAGCATGCCATTGCTAAGTAAAAGGCGAGAGTATGTAGAGCACAGTAGCAACAAATGGGTTTACCCAAACCTCTCTTAGCTTCAACAGGAACCTTGTTCTACACCATATCTGATTTGCTGTCAAGCAAAGCTGCTCCCCAGCGGCAGTCCCGGGTGTAGGTTTTTGTCAGTTTGATCTGCCTGGCTGTACTCCAGCCTGCAGAGATGCAATAACATTACCTGTGGGTTCTCCCTGCTATGTGGAAACCTGACTGCAGAGACCACAGCCCAGGAAGGGCGACGACAGCTCTTCCTCTGCAGCTGCCACGTGGAAGAGGACCCTGTGGTCATGATACCCTATCCATAGGCTCTGCTGCTGTTCTGAACCAGCCCCTGCATCTTTTTAAAATGAGAAGCACTTGATAAAAATCCTGATCTGAGAGGGTCTCCTGAATAGAGCGGAGTAGTTCAGCTGCTAGGAGTTCAATTCATGCATCTGCAGTGCTGCAGTCTGAACTCTTCACATGCCTCTCATCAGTGACTGTTCTACTCCCTGTTACTGCTAAGAATACCTAGTGTCACCCTTAGTGCACTGTGCGGTGGTGAAAATGTTTTCCTCTTAGCATGTCAGTTCACTAAATTCATCTATCACCTGGGAACCCTGGAACTACAGCTAATCATGGTAAGGTGAAGGAGATGATAGTGTGCAATAGAAACGACTGCAGCAAAATTAAAGCATTTTCATACTAATAGGCTTTTAATAGCTTGGGCATTTTCAGCAACAAATTTTAAGATCACTGGTTTGATATTTTATCTCTAATGCTACTTCAAGTGTTTTTAGATTCCTTCTAGAGTAAAGACCCTGAAGAAACAACATGCAGCAAGTTTGATACCGATGTAATCTATTTTACTAGAAACAAGATAGGAAAACTTCAAGCATATGGAGCGCATCCAGCTGCTACCTCACTCACAAGTATTCTGAAAGCGCTGCAATTGCCAGACTGGCATTAGCATCTTTGTTCGTCACCTCCCCACAACTTGGTGTCCAGTAGTAATGCTTCTTAAGGCCATGGGAGAGCTCTGCAAGGTGAACATGCCCATCCACTTCATACGGTTCCACGTCTGTACAGTTAGGTTTCAAGCGGCCCGTCTGAATTAATTCTGAAAATGCCTGAAATGAGTAAGAACAAGAATCTGACATAGAATATTCCACTTTGACTGCAGTGAAGGCCCTAGAAGAAAACACACAATAGGCAAGTACTTGATCGTTTCGGTATGCTGATGTTCAGTGAGTCTCATTACAGCACCACCATATTATAATTATTTAAAAAAAAAAACAGACTGAATCAGGTATCTTGTTCACGAATTGCTGTAGTCTTCCCAAGGATTGTAAAAACAGATTAGAACGAACAAAAAACAACTCTCTTAGAAGAGTTCAGAAGCAAACACTTACCATACAGGCGGCTTCATCAAATTTGTTCCCCCAAATGTAAATATAGGAAAGGTCCACGTT